AAGTCAATGCCAAATTCTTAAGTACTACGTCATAAGTCAAATTCTGTCCCAGTCACACGTAATGCTGGGGGAACGCGGTGCGGTGTCCCTGCAGTAAAAAGGTCATATGGCACACAACTCTGGGTACAAGTCGCCATGGCAACAATGTTCCTCTTTATATTAAAAAAAAAAATTCATTCAGTGTTTACCTGAAGCAGTTTGACATGAGTACGAAAAGTGATCTTTCTCCAATGAGTACCACTACGATCCTATTGGGGGGGGGGGGGGCAGTGAGGGATCAGGGGAACGACACTTTGGACCATACCCGCGTTATGTGGTGTCGCTAACTTGGTGATGCTTGACGAGTTAAAAAAAAAAAAAACAACAACAACAAAAAAAGAATGAATGAAAGAGAGAAAGAAAGCAGCATTGCATGTAGTGTCGCCTCTTCTAATTCCCCTCGGATCAAACACGGGCCGGGATTGACACAGAAGTTAGGGGAGTAGACAGAAGATGTGACGAGAAAGATGCATATAGTACCAAGTGGGGCTAACACACCTCGCATGGGCTCCATCAGCCCCGCTCAGTCCCTCCGGTTACTTCCCTAACAAGTTCCACCACCTCCACAAAAGGTCCTCACCCAGGTTTGCCTTTACAAACTCCGGTAGCTTTAAAAAGTCTACACACCCTACCAAAATGCAAAGTTTGTGATGCTTCGGAGAAATAATTAAAAAACAAACAAAAAAAAAAAACACTTTCGACATGAATGATAGCCCGAAGCAGATTGCTGACACATGGACACAGCCGGCGCCTGCCAGAAATTCTTGCAGCTCCTTTCAACATCACACAGTTGCATTCATTTCCATGCGATTGTTGTAACCGGGCATGTGGTATGTGTGTGTACGGGACTGACCGATCACATTCAAACTTTGCTGTGAAATAGCAGGAACCTGCTAGCATTTCAAATACTGCTTGGGTGAGATTTTCCTGACAAGCAGTTCCAAGGCTTTCGCTGTAACATGGACCTAAGTGAGGATAGTCACCGTCAAGTCGAGAAAATATGACCCCCACTGCGATTTCTAAGAGAAGTGGACATCTTTACTAAATGAATGCAAAGACCAGAGAAGAAAACCACAACAATGAAAAGAGTTGCACAAATTTCTGGCAAGTCATGGTCGCATCCCACATGTGACAACAATTCCCACATTTTTCAAATGGTTTTCTTTTTATGGAGGAGGAAAAAAAAATCTCATCCAGCACTCTTCCCTCTTTGTCATTAGTTTCAATTTTACACAAATCTGGTCTCTTACATGAAGTGTGTAGAACTTTTTTTTTTTTTTAATTCCACTCTAAACATGCTTGCCGAGGACAATATCGGAGAGAAGAGGGTAACCTCTTTCGAGCCAGTGTGAGCCCCGCGGGCGCAGGCACAAGATTTAAGAATAAAAACACTCCTGGTATTTTGTGCGTTCGGGGAGGGGGAGAAGGGGGGGGGGCAAATGCTTAGTATGAGAAGACAACTGTACAACGAGAAAACAAACAAACCCCCCCCCCAAAAAAACGATGAACGACTTCATTAGCTGGACTCTCCCAAAATCTGCGAGGTAATCTCTGAGGTAATCATTGAAGTATGACTCATTAGACAGCAATAAATATCAACATGAATACAAACATTACAAAAGTAAAAACTGAAGCAAATGCTAAAGCATAAATTTTGAGCTAAAAGAGGTAGGTTTTTTTTTTTGTTTTGTTTTTTTCTTGTTTGTTTTTTCTTTTGTTTTGTTTTTTTGTTTTGTTTTTTTAGGTTGACTATGGTGTACATCCATTGTGGACACTCTTCCGTCTTAAGAACTACATTTAATTTGATTCCATTACAATCCCTGTCGTAAAGGCGGGAACGAAAAGTCGAAGAGAAGGTCTGGGCTGGGGCGAGGAGCCGGCTTCTATAGCTGCTTTATGGACAGGATTTGTAATGGCAACAGTCATATGAACAAACTTTCCAAGAAAAAAAAAAAAAAAAAGAATCGTAAAGCTTGCTGGTGATAGTGTACCATGACGCGAGTATTACAGGTATTCCGGTTTGTGGCGTCGCCGTCGTCGAGTCGAGCGCGAATCTCCACTAAGGCGGACGCGTGTCATCTGTGGCCGATCTCCTTTAGCAGTTAGGATTTACGAGGTCCAGTATTCCAACAAACCACCACAATGTTACAAAGGTTTGTTTGAAGCAGCTTTTTTTTTTTTAAAACGGTGAAAACAATCGAAACGGGAAAACCTCGTGTCGATATGAGCGGATCGATGATATGTACAATGTGTCGCCGTCATGAACGCTAGCTTCCATGTTACTTTCGTCCTCTAGAATTTCATCATCAGCGAAGAACTCTCGGACCCTGTTCTCGTGTGGAGGGAAGCCTCCCCGTGGCACTTTTACATTCCCCCGAAATTCCTTACTTGGATCAAACATCCGCATACCTCCGAAGAAGTATGACGGCTGCACCGAAAAGAAAATCAACAGCAAGAACACGAGAAGGTCCAAAGATGACGTATGTCACTTGTCATGTGAGGAGAAATAAAACTTTTTTTTTTTTCAAAATTGCAATTGGTGATATCATTATTTTCCTCGTAATATGTTCTTCTAGCGGGACTTTGTTACCATAAAATGTATTTTTTTTTTCTTCCGCAAAGCTTTTCTCAAAGTATGTACTTTTTCCCTCAGTGTCGACCTAATACTCCTTTGTACAAATTGGCACCGCTTTGCTGTTTTAAAATGAAAACGTGACAACCCCAGAACCAGAGCTACATACACAAGTACATAAAGTATGTAGGAAACCTTCAAAAGGTCAGCATTGAGTTCGAAAAAAATTAAGAAGAAAAAAAAAAAGAGGACAGCATACATCCGTTAGCTGTCCTGGCATTAGATGCACACGAGTGGTACTGCCTACAGACACTCAATCCTCCCGTTTGTGGACATGAACATACCGTGTACGTTTGCATACTGGACTGGAGAGTCCGCCAACCAACGTATATTGGATTGACAGGGAAACATTTGGTGCGATATCCCCCATGTGGTTGGACTGGCACAAGTTACCAAGAGTAGAAGTTCGACTTAAAGCCACAGTGCGAGAGAATGGTCCTGCTGGTGAGTCGGATTCGGCTGCTGCTGCTGTAGTGTAAAGCGACAACGCTCTCGGATGAGGAAAAAGAACGAGGAGCAGCACGATGGATTCCAAAAGTCGCCCTGAGATGATGTCAGTGGAAGCGTCATAAAGGTCTGGCACAGGAAGCATGCGCGGCCGAATCTCAGAAAACAACTTTCGCAGATGTCAAAACATCTCGTCTCCGGTCAAATGGCTCTTAAGATCTCGTGGCGGCCACCCGTGAAAACAGTCCGCACTAGACAGGAAAGGGAGTTCTGCGCTCAATTGATCGACCGATCAATGAACATGTCGGTGGATGTGCATGCGACATACTTGAAATATGAAATACATCATGTGATCTGATGGACACTTTTCTACAAGTATACAAAAGCAATCTTCATAGGTTATTGACAGGTCGCCTTCACTTTTCGGAAAGGAGCACCAGCAACGGTGGCCAAACGGAGACAAAAAGGCATTCGATCAATGAAACAACCAACGGATCAGCTGTCATTAGGTTTGAGCAATTGAACCATAGCACCAAATGATAGACCGGCCTCTTAAGTACTTCTTCGTCTTTGAAAGTTTCACGAGCTGTCAGAACTGTCACGTTCTGAAGTGAACAGTCCGCTCACGAGGGCTCGTTAACAACTGGAAATTGGTCGGATCGTCACCTGACCAAATATGACTTTAATCGACAAACTCCGTCGTGGCAAAACTCGAGACGGGTGAGGAGTAATCAGTTGATCACAACAAAATTCCAAAAACAGCAATATTCTATATTGCATATTTTTTTTCCATACAATTTAAATACTATTTATAATTCTCTTTCATTTACATTTAAATCTTTCATTTTCACTACATTTGCTTTACCCTGGTACAAAGTCACTTATATTTGCAGTAAATGTCCGAAATGGGACAAAAAACAAAATACACAGATTTTTAAAAAAATTATAAACTTAATGGTGGTGGTGGGGGGGCGGGGGGTCATCCTAATATCCGGTTTTTCTCCTTGTAAAAGGAGGTCTGTCTTTCAAACATTACAACTTCATTCTTGTAATATTCCTCCGTCTACATTCTCATCTAAGACGTGTCCATTTCTTTTCAAACCACGAAATGTTCTTCTGTTTGCAACCGGCTTCAATAATGTTTTGTCAGTGAAGGCCTTTTTTTTAGAGATGCATATTTACAACTTTCATCAAAATTCGAATTTGAATACTTCTTGAAGGCCTTTTTTTTAGAGATGCATATTTACAACTTTCATCAAAATTCGGATTTGAATACTTCAGAGCACAGGTATCAAAGTCAAGGCCCGGGGGCCAGATCTGGCCCATCACATCATTTTATGTGGCGCGCGGAAGCAAGTCAAGCATGTCAAGTTCCATGATGCTTGCTGAAGTCTGAACCAAAATTTCAAATTGTCATGTGTAATCCGCAATAACAGTCATTATTCTGATTTTGACTTCTGATTTTAAAACTAGTTCCCCATCAATTTGTTGTGCACTGTGTTTGTAATATGTGGAGGTGATCTAACATTTAGATGGTTTCCCAAAATTGATTAGGGCCCTCCAAGGGAAACCGTAACTACAATATGGCCTGCGACAAAAATGAGTTTGACACTCCTGCTTTCGAGTATATCCTGCACTCCCACTTAATTTTCAGAGAGTACATGGTGGCCGTAAAGTTGACGCATGGTCTGAATGTTCTATACTATACTGCATATCTTGTCTTTCCACAAAACCGCCACTAGGGGGCTGAACAGCACACAAGAGCCATCTGGAGGGCCTCAGGCAGGAGGTGCCGAGCAACTAAACCAAATCCCCCACTCCCCCAAGCTCCAAGACATTCTCGAAAATTCACTTCCCAGTCAGAAACGAAAGGAGGTGTGGAGCTGTATGCAAAGCTCCACATCCCACCGAGCTCACGATATTCCGTGGAGGAATAACTCTTGAAATGGTTTTAGGAAGATGAGGTGACATTAAAAAAAAAAAAGCAACGAAAAGAAAAATATGGAGCAATTATATCCATTCCTATGCCAACTCCAAGTATGGTATACAGCCATATATTAACAAGTCAGGTCTCTTACTGAAGCCTTAATTCACTAATCCAGTTAGATTTGGCATTTAGCCCTTTAAAATCTATGATATATAGCATATAGGCTTGAATAAATGGTGATACAACAGTGCTGAGGATACACATGGTAGCAATTAGCTATTTACAAGGAATAAACTATATCGGGAAACGAACTAAAGGAGCAACAAGCCATGACGTTGGCCCGGTTTGATTGACAGACTGCGGTTACAAAATAAAATAGTAGCTAACACATTTAGTGGCTGATTCTCACCTCCAAAAACCAAGCAAACCAAAATCCAATCTGCTAAATGACAGACCAACACTCTGCAGTCTAACCCGAAATACTGACCGTTTTCCTTCATGGGCTTGTGAGGCTAGTCAGAAAAAAAACCAAAATAAAATTGTTAGCATGTTGCGCGGCCGCATGCCAAAGAGCAGCAAGATGGTTTTCCGAGACGGTAGAGGAACCATACCTTTGGTGAGAGATGAAAGGTTGGTATACATAAATATACACTGCCTTGGAGACAAGCAGATGAACATGAAAATAACCACTTAATAAAGTCATGCAGAGGCACTGGTTTCATCCAATAAAACGTCATCCGTACGGTATCTAAAGCATCCACAGAGGTGATAGAAATATAAAACAACCCCGGTAAAAAAAGAGGTAGCTCAACGGAATGGCTAAATGAATAACTGAGTGTGTTGGTTGTTGTTGCTGTGCACTGTGCGCGTGCACAACACGTCCAGGCGTTTGAAGCAGCGTTGATTTAAATAGACAAAAAAAAAACAAACAAAAAAAACACCGTAAAGAGGCAGAGAAGTATGCTTAGCTTAAGTTGTACTGAATGTAGTTCCCTTGTTTACTGTCGCTTCAACATCCATTTGCTCTCCGGACAGACTCTTGAAAGAGACGCACATACTTGACGGCCAATCCAGATCATCATCATCATCATCATCATCATCAGCTTCCTCCCTCCATTGTGTCACCGCATGGGCGTGGTCTCCCTTTAGGAGACCTCGCTGCCAAACACCTCCAACACCAGCGGGGTGAGCTGCATGCTGTGCTCTGGCTGGAAGGAGAGCGAGCGGTACTGTTTGGAGTGCTCCTCGTTGAGGCTGCGCAGGTCGGCCAGCTTCTGAATCATCTTGGCATAGAGCAGGCTTCCTCCGGGGTGGTTGAGTTGGATGTAGGCCTGCAGGGTCTCCGACAGGCGGTCTTGGAGGACTTCGATCCGCGCGTGGTCTTGCACACCCGGGCGGTCTGGGGGGGGGGGGGGTAATCACATATTGTGGGGATGGGGATAAATATTTATGTGACACCTCTACTGGATTTACTGGTTTGCTCACTTCAAATCTTTTTTTTGTTGCTACGTGCAAATTCCAAGGTTAACGTTTTAAAGCCTGGGGACTGAGTAGGCCACCGCATGACCTTAATATATTTCCGTCTTGAGCCACACCTTTGTTTCCCTGGCAGTAGGTTTTGGATCACAGTCATGTTGGAAGAAACATCTTCAGCCCATCTTCAGTGTTCTTGCTGAAGAAAAGTTTTCGGCCAAGATTTGAAAGTAGAGCACCTGGCTCCGTTCATCGGCCCCTCAATTTGGTGAAGTCGTGTACCATTTGGAGGAAAAAAAAATTCCCAATGGACAACTGTTAAACGGCTCAACTGTGGTTTCCTCTGACCACATTTTCTCCAAGTCTTCCCAGAGTCATTAAGATGTTCACTCGCAAACTTAAGGCAAGCCTGGACATGTGCTTTGAGAGCAGGGAGACCTTGTGGGCACTGCAAGACTGTTGTCCATCAGGGTGCCGTGCATATCCAACATTTCTGCCTTTGTTTTGCTGATACAAAGTAAGATCCTGCTGTATACTATATTGCTCTCTTCCTTTTCCTCAAAATCATCCCAAACACAACCAGTTAGACACATTTATGTGTCCAAAAAAATCACACTTGTTGCACTTCCCTTTGAAGCTTAGTCATTTGAATGCGGTACAATTGCGGTTTAAAGCAATGTTCTTGTTCGACTGTCATTAACGGGATCTACAAAAATGTATTTTACAGCCTGGAGCTGGATCTGTTAAAAAAAAAAAAAAAAAAAAAAGCCCATCCTGGTTGAGTTGTTGGAGAATTTTATGGGGATTTTTATGGATTTCAATGGATATTCTATGACCACAAAGTGAACTAACCAATTCAGCAGGGGATCAAATAAACATTTTGCCCCACAGTATGTACATTTTTTTGGTGACTCGTTTGCCTCAGGAAGTCCCACAAAAAGGACGTAAGGCAACCAAGATCACTGTTCACCGTCCGGCCTACAAATAGTGAACAGCACGCATTACCTGGAGAAAGTAAGCAGATGGCCATCAGCAGTACATGTTCCTCCTCATGCAGGCTGAGCTTCTTGAGGCCCACCTGGAACTTAACCAGCGGCTCCAGCAGCTCCAGAGTGTGGCCCGCTACAGGACAAACGCAACAGATGTCACATGGCACATTATGATTACGTTCACTTGCACAATCTGGTGAGATTTCCAGGAGTATCATGACTATTTGACGAGAAGTATAGTTTACAAAAAAATCGAACTGCAGAGGAGTATTTGGACCACACTACCGTGTCTTCCTGCCTCATCCTCCGCAGTGTAGTCATTTCGTTTTCGTTTTTCTGGTATTCTATGTGTAAATGCATGTCAATGGACGTCTTGTTGATGAAACCAGTTCTTTGAAAGTCTCAGGACAGTCCCATATGTACTAAAAAGAGCCATCAGGAGGACAAAAAAAAACCCCTAAAAATGCAGTGTGGCGTCAAGTGTACATGTGGTAGCATTTTGACTGACCTTTAGTGACATCACTGATCTGGTATTTAAAGTCGGGCGCACCGCAGCTCCAGGACATGTCTTCCAGGTTGAAGCTCTGATTTGAGCGCAGCATGATCACCTCAATAGCGCTCGACTTGAGCAAGGCGATCTGATCCTCTGCAGTCAGCTCTCTGCAAGAGAAGATGCTTATATGTTAGCATTCGCCCAATTGCAGCTCTTACACTAAATTACCGTATTTTCCGCACTATAAAGGCGCACCTAAAAGCATTCAATTTTCATAAAAGTTTCACAGTGTGCCTTATATGCCGATGCACCTTCTATATGGATCAATGTTCTGATTTCTTGGAAGTAGTATTTTAAATGTTCTGTAAAGTGCTTTGTTCCAGCTGCCGCGGTTGGAAAAGCTCTACATAAATAAAGCTGTATTGTATTCTCTTTAGCATAGCTCCATCTAGTGGATGCATAACGCAACCACACCCACAATTGTAGCTTCTATTCCATGCACCTTATAATGCGGTGCGCCCTATATATGAAAACAGTTTTAAAATAGGCCATTCATTGAAAGTTTGCCTCATACTCCGAAGCGCCTTATAGTGCGGAAAATATGGTACAAATAACTGATGAAATTATGTCACACTGTAGTTTAATGATTCATATGCATGATGTTTCATACTGAGCAATATCTAATGTATGTACCTGCATAGCAACTCTATTCAGTCTAGCGCAATATCTAATGTATGTACCTGCATAGCAACTCTATTTCAATCGCGCGTCATGAGTTGTTTATCGTAGAAGAGGGCATAAACATGGCGACTTCGAGCTTTGTCAACAAACTCTAGCAAGGTTCGTGAATGTGTCAAGGAATGGAAATAGAATGTGGATCTAGGACGATCCCTTGACTCTTGAGTGAAGGTCCGGGCTTAAGCGAGAAAAGTATCGGCGAACAAACATTCCCTCGGTAATCCAACCACATCCATCACTTGCAGCCAATGGCAATGACAGCTTTCAGGAAATACAGGCCCCGGCTCGTTTTAGCGCCGACTTCATGGCCCCAAGAGGTGACACACTTCTTCCAAGCAGAGTTTGTAGCGTGCGACAAAAGGATGATTGAAGGGATTTTCTTCGATAATCAAAAGATTGCAGTCCATGAATCATTGAATGGCAGAACGATAGCATGAGCTCACATGACATTAACTTGTTGCAAAGGAAACTGCATCAGCTTGCTTTGGAAAAAAAGAACGCACTTCATATTACAGGAGCGCAAAGTTTTTTTTTCATCATGTGGAGGTCATCAGTTTGTAAGTAAGGAACAACAACAAAAAGTTGCTGCACAGATCAAGATGCGAACTTAAAATAGACAGTGGTGCCGTTGTGACGCCAACACCAGTCATCCGATTGCAGTTTTATAATGCATTGGCCATGACTCGGATGTGATTTTTTTTTCCATTCCCCTCAATAAAGTGCTCCAAGTTTTCCCCGTTGGTGAGTCAGCTGGATTGTAAAATACGTGTACTGGCTATAGCGGCAGGAACTCAGTAAATTTTGGTGCATATCCTTCCTGAGACTGCTGGAAAGAACATTTAACCAAAAAATAAACAACAACTTGCTCTAGTTTTTCAGTTAATAATGTATTAAAAACCACATTTGGATACACGCTGGTGTTCCGTTGCATCGGGGACCTCCGACAGAGTCAAACACAATCTGTAGTGGAATACCAGTTGACTTCGACGTTTACATTCCACCCCCCCCCCCCACCCCAAAGTGAATTGATTACTTCCGGGGAAAAAACTCTTACATCACAAAACCTGTATTACCTGTTAAGGCATTTTTTTTTTAATGTAACATTTGTGAGGGTGCTGTTAAATTGAAATGATATGACTTTACATAAAAAGTAGTCTTACAAAGAATTACTCAAGTAAGAGTATGTAAATATCTGGTGAGAAAATGTGGACCAAGCTGTTCTTTTTTTGTAATCCGTAAGGTAGAAGTAGATGGAACGTAAGGCCAGGGATGTTGTGCCTCTTTTGTCGGCACTTCTGCTACGCTTCATGTCCAATTAGTCACTTTAAAAACTTAGCTTCTGCGCGTGCTGTTAAAAAGTATCAGACGGGATGATTAATTTATGCTAATGACAAGAACCGACGCTAGTTACAAACTTTAAAGGGGAAGTCAAGTCAAAAAACTTTATACGATAAAACAATACAATACTATATACTATGTGCCCCCACCTGTCTAAACACCGCATTCTGATTAAAATAGCATTTTTGAAAAATGAATCAGAAAAATCCACTAATTTTTGTCCATCTCCGGTGGCAGCCATTTTGCTTTTGTACCTCCACTTGCTGTCAAATGAAAATGCCATCACAGTGCCTAAGGGCTCAGGTACCGACCAATCACAGCTCACCTGTTTTCTGAGTTTGGTCATGTGATGTTCACAAGCTGAGCCTTTAGCCACACTATGTGGTTTGAGAACAGAATATTCTCAGCATCATTATATTCAATTCGGTAAAAAGTTGCAATTTGTCGAATAGTTGCCCCCCCCCCCCCCCCCCCCCGAAAGTGAATTGATTACTTCCGGGAAAAAACTCTTACATCACAAAACCTGTATTACCTGTTAAGGCAGTTTTTTTTTTTTTTTTAAATGTAACATTTGTGAGGGTGCTGTTAAATTGGAATGATATGACTTTACATAAAACGTAGTCTTTCAAAGAATTACTCAAGTAAGAGTATGTAAATATCCGGTGAGAAAATATGGACAAAGCTGTTCTTTTTTTTGTAATCCGTAAGGTAGAAGTAGATGGAACGTAAGGCCAGGGATGTTGTGCCTCTTTTGTCGGCGCTTCTGCTACGCTTCGCGTCCAATTAGTCACTTTAAAAACTTAGCTTCTGCGCGTGCTGGGCCATGGAGGATTAGTGTGTGATCATGTGGTACCGTTTCACCGGTCCAATTGGCCAAACTGTGATGTGCCGGCACCCGAGGCGCCTTTCCGACAAACCAAAACAAAATAGATGGCACAAGCAATAAAATGGCTCCAAATATAAGGAGCGGGCAGACTGAAGCCTAATCGAACAGCATAAAAATGGTACACAGTAAAAAAGTATTGTATGTTGCATTAAAACGACTCTGACGGGTTAGCGCCGTGCTACCCGCGCACTGATCGTATCTGGTTGTTTTTTTAACATTGCACTCTGGTGAAAATGAAACATCGACAGCGTGACAGGTGAACGAAGACGGTACCTGAAGCCCGGGATCATCTTGGCAAAGCCAATGACCTTCTGAATGCTGTAGGACACCAGGTCGGCCAGGTGGGGCAGCATGGAGAAACTGGAGGCTTCCTCTTCACTGGAATCAGGGCTACTGCCCTGCTCCTGATACATCATCATCAAGTTGTTTAAGTTCATTTTGGTGTCGACCGATTCTGCAGCCCAAAAAACAAAAATACATATATCATAATAAGAATAATATACGTCTTCGATAAATACAAATATTTCAAGCTAAGCGAACGGACAGCAGAACTTGTGGAACCGCGAGTGCAAAGGGGATGAAAGCTTGGATGACAGCCTTGAAAACACGTGAAGCCCTTCAACATCACCGGGGTTATTTTCAGTCATTTGCTGGCGCCGCGTGGAGGCTGTGTGACCGTGCCTCTTGCCGTGTGCACCGCATTAGTGACAGATGCATTAACGAACTCATGTTTATAAGCGGGCGTCAAGCGTCTGCAGGGTGCGAGGCCTTCAAAGGATCGCCTTTGCATTCTCAGTAAAGCAGCACAAACAAATTATATAAGCCAATGAAATAAGAGGGGGGAAAAAAATAGCTGGCTCGAGTCAATTATAAATACTGCTCTTTTTCCAAACTGATTCTGTCATGGCCGTACAAGCGCAGGCTCACATGTTCTTCTGATTTATGTAACTTTTTAAACATAACATTTGCTTCTAAAGGCAACCGTACTGGAAGGTCTCTTTGACTTATTACACCCAGCGGCCAATGTTGATCTTGAGGGACGTTTTCATAGAGCGAGCCGCTCACCCGGAGAGTGACTGAAGGAATCGGAGGAGGCGTCCGACAGAGAGTGGAGGGAAGCGGCTCTGCTGGCGCTACGTGTCACTGGCCCCTCGCGCACAGGAGGCTGCACGTGGAGATAAGAGAGCAGAATATTGCCGTAAAAATCGGAGAAGAATACCGTGCCGATGCTCATTTAGTCCAATGTAACGTGAGGATCCCGTCTTGATTTCTATCACGGGTCCTTGGATGACACTTAGGTGGCATTTATGGTGTTGACAACTGTGAACACTCGACATGATCGTTACAAGTTCAGTTGCTACTTTGGCCCCACTTAACTATTGCAGCTTCAACACGGCTTGTTTTTGCCAGTTACAACTTACAAGACATGAGACATGGAGAAGACTTGGCCCATGTCGTAACTTTAAGATTATAGGTTTGAATGCCTCTTGTCCCCCGATTACGCAGAGGATGGCCTTTTTGTTTTCAAGAATATTGAACATTGGGAAAAAGAAGTTACCGTTGTGAGGAGTACAACACGAAAACAACCCAACGTGCTCTCAAACCGGACTTTGATGCCAAGTGACGGACGTGCGGTGGTACCTTAGGGTTGACGCGAACTTTTCGACATATAAACCGTCGCGCTGACGATTTTTTTTTTTTTTGTCTTGGGTTGGAGCGAAAATGTTTGTTATGAGCGCTAGACGGCAGCGGCGAGCTTCACAACAACCAGTAGCTTGGCAGCGAGTGAACAACTCTTCAAAAAAAAAAAAAAAGATGCCAAGTGCTTGCTTCAATCTGTTTATTGCCACTTCCAGTTTAAGTTGACTGGGAAAGTGAAATACAACAAACAGATGACACATTCGACTAAATAACCACTTGGCCTTGCTTTACGACGGTCCCAACGTTCAAAGTAACACCAAAAAGAATGGCGCACAGTGAACTAGTTTGCGCGGTGGTGTGAGAATATATCCGGGGGAATAAGAAGGCACGCTCGCTTACCAATGTACAATTTTTACAGATTTTGCCCTTATGAATGTTTTCCATACAAATAGTTATGATAATACTGACTTGGCAATTGTGTTAGAGATACACCACGCAGCGTACAAATTGTGGGAGCCCCGTCGCCGTGGGAACGCAACCCTATCGTGAACAGGAGCCCCTGTATTTAGTTTGCTACATGGTGACAGCGTTGCGACTAAAAGGTGACCCGGTTGTTGTTGGACTGCGGAATGTGACACAAACCCGAAAGCGGCAAAAGTCAGAGTAGGAGTCGTCGAAGGTTTTGTGGTGCGCCTCCACCAGCGTGGCAATGACTTGACTCTGTTCGTCGGTGAGTCGAGGTCGCCGCGCCTCCCGCTCCGCTTCGCGTTGGGCCTCCTCGTCCTTTCGCCGTTGAATGAGGTCCTTCTTCCTCTGCACTTCTTCGTCTGTCAGGATGACTGTGTTGGGGGGGGGCAAAGAAACAGTTGATCATTTATTTGCATATATATTATATTCCCACCCCAGCTAACAGTTAACAGTTACAGCCTAATCTATAGCTATAGGAAGGCCCTCATCGCATCTTTTACATAATGTGTTTTGCATTGCAGTGACAGCTATGTCAATAGAGCAGTGGGCGGGGGTGTTGTTGTTCTCCGGAGGAAGAGAATGGGAGGGGACCAGGCCACATGGAGACCCCCGCTGCACTGAACAACTGAGAACATTGTCTTTGTTTCTGTGGGCTCCTTGTTGTTCCAGCCACTGAATTAGCTCACAGAGAGAGCGAGAGTGAGCGAGCTGGCTGTCAATAACATGCCGCTGTTTTTTTGGAACACCATAACAGAGGTACAGGCCTAAGGTTCCTCTTCATATGCACAATGGCAGTTCTCCCCCCGCCGCTACTCCCCGTTAATGACCCGAGCTGCAACTGGGAGGTTTTGGGATAAAAGTGGCTTGTGGAAAATGTGATGATATGGGGGAGACAAACAAAGTTCCATTTCCTTCTATTTACACACACTGCATAAAAAATAAAAAAATAAAAAAAAACAAAAGGAAAGAAGAGGCCTCGGTAGATTGTGCGGAACAGCAGGTGTTTGAACTTCAGCTGGAGAATAATTAGTCTTTACAACGTGGGCTGACTCCACTCGTTCAAACATGTCAACATTCTAATGGGGGCAAAAACCCAGCGATACTTGACCCCAGTCCAAATATTAGGTAATATTTGAAAAAGCCACCTCATGACCCCCAAACACCTTCTAGTCCACTTTGATACCAAGGAGAGTCGTAGGATAGTAAACAATATTTTCCAAGTTATATTTTTGAAATTGGAATTCTATATGGTATTCCAATGATATTTATGGTTGATGTTCACACTTTTCACATTTCTTTGTTCATGTTAAATAGTTTGTTTCATTTAAAAAGTGAAGCGCTATTGAAGGAGGCACCAAACCTCAACAGTCGCTGAATGAACTACAAAAACAATTGACACGCAAAAGCGTTGCTGTTACACCGGCATTGATGATCTTTTCCTTCCCGCCTTTCTGTTTATTAAAGCCCAACATCACGTGTTGCGACTCACACGCACGCCCACTTGATGCACTTGTAAATGAGTCATTTCATTTCGATTTGATTGAGTGAATCATGTGAAAGTTACAATGCGTGCAACTGGCTTACGTTTACCACTACAATGAGCGGAATGACAACACGAAACACCATCTAAACTTTCTATGCTGAATTTCAAGAGTTCAACAAAAAAATTATCGAACACTAGGCGTGATGAAGGCGCCCAGCTATTGAGGACCTCTGCTCTGTAAGGCATTTGTATGTTTTGTCAAAGCTGTATGGATGCCTTGTTTTTATTGGAGACTAAAGAGTTGATCCGCGTAATTCAGTGTTCGACGAACTATAATACCGAAAGCATTAGATGACACAATCTTTTCGTCCTACTTCAAACTGGGGCCGTGCCGCAAAGCACCAGCGTAGCAAGATTTCCAGTAGTACGGCGCACAATTCAACACAATGCCTTGCAACTATCTGGGTCGGCAGTCATACTTACACTCTTTCATCATGCCAATGTCCACACAGCGTTTGAGCCGGCATGCCTGGCAGTGGCGCCTGTTGTCCTTGGTGATGGTGCAACTGCCGTTAAAGGGACACGTGAAGGAGGCCTTGCGCTTCATACTGCGCCTGAATTGAGCAAAGGAAAAAACATTTTAAGACTTTTATTGCAGCTTATGCAACAAACTGCTCTCAGGTGGCATAAATGTCATGTGATTTGACGCTCCGGGAAAAAACAAAATGCACTTGTCCAAACATGTTAAGATACTAAAGAGTTTAACTGCCGAGGCGAGGTGAACATCAATCATTGCCTTTTGACTTTCAAATTGAAAACGGCACAACTAGATGGATGGATGGATCGCAAGAAATCTACTCTTAAGTCTTGCCAGAGGGTGATGCAAAGTGTCATAGCGCTTGTGGTGGGGGAATATTTTGTGCATTGTGACACACCTGTTGTACCAGAACATGGGGCTGAACAATCGATGAATTGTATGTTAAATAGACAGTATGAATTTGTTCAAAGGAAAAGACTTGAACCCTACACCGGCCGATTGCACATCTCTAATTGAAGCCTTTGGTATTTGGAAATTGCAATCTACGACGCCACCACGTCAATTTGCGTTCGAGCAATTGGTAATTGTCCGGCCGAACAACAAACACAGACTCAGAGGAGCAAAGAGGAAGGGGACTGTTTGACACATTCATCTTAGCCATCTTTTCCAGCACACAGAAAGTTATGTTGCAAAATATTTCCATAATTTAAAAAAAAAAAGAGAATTATTGTATCTACTGTACTTGCCAGCCCAGAAATATTAGTATAAATAAGCTGGAACTGCTGCTTGGTAGTGCCAGAATATTCCATTTATTCGATTTCTTATGTTTGGGAAGCTAAGGTGTAACTTCCCAAATATTCTTCTTGAAGAACTTTTGTCTGCACTCTACGGTATCTGTGGTCTTTTTTTATACAATAAATTTGACACAACTTTCCGTCACGTTTCTCCTTTTAAGCCAGATAGTGTCCCTCATAGAAGGAGAGACCCAAGTTTCTAATTTGTCCTCTGTATGGTGAACCGAGTGTGTGCTGTATGTCTACTTGCAATAGGCAACACAAGGAAAAATTCCCGTTCAACTCCCAAAATGTGCGCTCCATTTGTTTGCCCTCAGTGCTTGGGCATCTATTTCAGTAAATAGCCTCGTGAAGGGGACAAAAAGGCATGTCACCACAAGGCCGGCATCCTCATAAACAAATGCGCACTGTCCTTTCCACAAAGCGCCTTTCTTACTGTTTTCTTTGCTTCTACTGCGGAGTGAGAGTGGGCCGGGTGGCGGGAGGAAATGACGGGTCAAAAGAAAGGAGTGTAACCCAACTAGACACAAACCCCAACAAAGTCACAAATCAACCGCAGTGGGGCGAATATTTCAAATGTTTGGACCAATTGCTTGATCCATCCTTCCATTCATTTTCTGAACAGCTTTATCCTCACAAGGGTCACGGGGCGTGCTGGAGCCTAGCCCAGCTGTGTTCAGGGTGTAGGCGAGCTACACCCTGAATCGGTTGCCAGCCAATTGCAGGGCACACAGAGACGAACAACAATCCGCGCTCACACTCACGCCTATCATTATTTATCAAAGGGCCCCATTAAATATTTGTTTAAAAAAATAAAATAAAAATAAAAAAGAAGTGGTTGATGATCAAATGATTTTTTTTCCACAAAGCACACGCTAAACACATGGACCCAACTATGCGGACCACGTGCTTCCATTGACATCAACTCATCGGCATGTTTGCGACGTCACCGGCGGTTGGCGGCACGCGTTTGTGTACCTGAAAAATCCTTTGCAGCCCTCGCAGGTCATGGCGTTGAAGTGAAAGCCGGTGGCTTTGTCGCCACACACGCCGCAGATTCGAGGCACGTTCCTGTCAAACTCATCGGGGGCCAAGGAGGATGTACTCACAACAGTGGGCTCCATTACTGAACAACAGAGGGAGAGATCAGAAGGGAAATGTGAAAAGTGAAAAAATAAAATTCAAGTTGTAACCAAGTGCTATTTTTTCCACAAATGGGGCAGAGTAAAATTTTGAGAAAATAACATTATGAGAATAAGGGTGCAACTTTGTGAGTGTCATAGCCCTCACAAAATATAAACGTAAGAGTCTAAGACCAGCAGCCAGTAGTACATCTCTATATACCTGCCATGTATTATTTATCAAAGAGCCCCATTAAATATTTGTTTAAAAAAAGAAAATTAAAAAAAAAAAAACAGTCGTTGATGATCAAATGATTTTTTTACCCCTTCGAAACAAATGTTTGCACAGTGAAAAGAAAACTGTTCATGTTGACATTGGTGTTAATGTGCCAGAATATTCCATTTATTCGATTTCTTATGTTTGGGAAGCTAAGGTGTAACTTCCCAAATATTCTTCTTGAAGAACTTTTGTCTGCACTCTACGGTATCTGTGGTCTTTTTTTATACAATAAATTTGACACAACTTTCCGTCACGTTTCTCCTTTTAAGCCAGATAGTGTCCCTCATAGAAGGAGAGACCCAAGTTTCTAATTTGTCCTCTGTATGGTGAACCGAGTGTGTGCTGTATGTCTACTTGCAATAGGCAACACAAGGAAAAATTCCCGTTCAACTCCCAAAATGTGCGCTCCATTTGTTTGCCCTCAGTGCTTGGGCATCTATTTCAGTAAATAGCCTCGTGAAGGGGACAAAAAGGCATGTCACCACAAGGCCGGCATCCTCATAAACAAATGCGCACTGTCCTTTCCACAAAGCGCCTTTCTTACTGTTTTCTTTGCTTCTACTGCGGAGTGAGAGTGGGCCGGGTGGCGGGAGGAAATGACGGGTCAAAAGAAAGGAGTGTAACCCAACTAGACACAAACCCCAACAAAGTCACAAATCAACCGCAGTGGGGCGAATATTTCAAATGTTTGGACCAATTGCTTGATCCATCCTTCCATTCATTTTCTGAACAGCTTTATCCTCACAAGGGTCACGGGGCGTGCTGGAGCCTAGCCCAGCTGTGTTCAGGGTGTAGGCGAGCTACACCCTGAATCGGTTGCCAGCCAATTGCAGGGCACACAGAGACGAACAACAATCCGCGCTCACACTCACACCTACGGACAATTTAGTGTTCAATCAGCCTGCCATGCAGGTTTTCGGAATGTGGGAGGAAACCGGTGTACCCGGAGAAAACCCACACAGGCACAGGGAGAACATGCAAACTTCACACAGGAAGGCCGGAGCTGGGATCGAACCCGGTACCTCTGCACTGTGAGGTCGATGCGCTAACCACTCGCCCACCAAATTGCTTCATCATCGACTCAATTTCTTTCAACAGAACATATTGGGAACTTTCTTCTTGTGACATCCCCATGCCAACAATATGTCGATCAAAGCGCAACAAGATCGCTTTGCTCATCCAGGCATCGCGTGGCTCATGGCTGCGTACTAAGTTGCTTGTGTGTGTATCACAGCATCACAAGCTTAAGCATATGATAAACAATGGCACAGTGCGGTGAGTGAGAAAGTCACAGCTTGACACTGCCTCAGTGACAAGCAAATATTTGTCGGTGGGAAGGAGCAAAGGCACCCAACAGAACCACAATGACAATAGACTAGTGACAGACTGTTGATGGAAAAAGCCTGTTTGGTCTGCTGAAAACATGAGCTCAGGCCAGTTAATGGAGAGGAAACACAAATCGGACTTTCTACTTATACAGGGAGGAGGAAAGCAGACGTGGTGGTTTAATGTGGTGAAACAAATTCAGTTTTGTTCGGTTCAAGCTGGCAAGGTGGCGTACTCCTCTTATTTTAACCACTTCACTAAAAGTGTGCGTTTTTCTCCCAGCCGCCCATTCACTCGCCAGTTTTAAGAACAAAGGTCAACAGAGGCGGTAATACAATCGGCCACGTTGCAGAGATTTTTGGTCATCTTTTCACAGAGTGGTGTGTGTCTCTAAGACTTGATCAATAAACCCACAGATAGATGGCAGTGTCAATCACAAGGTTTATTAAAACCCATATAAGGATTGGCAGTCTGGGCATTACTTCAACAAGAACACCGGCAACGGACTATTAGCAAGTTTTGTTTCGTTTATTTTAATACATGACACTATTGTGGCAGTCGTCGTGACGAGAGATGAATATTTCACTTCATTTTCACAATCGGCAGAGCGACAAAAAATATGAATGCTATACGAAAACGTCTTTGACGAATACTTTAAATTTAATGGGGATGTTCTGGACTATTATTTTGAAGCCAATGTAGCTTGGATCTGAATAAAGCTGCCGGGAGACGCTGTGCCATACTTCGTGTCTTCGTAGATGTAGGTCAACTGACTCCCCCAGACCCAACATTGTGTAGATCTTTTTTTTTTCTCACCCCAATCTATTCCCGATTGACCAAACAGCCCCCTCCTGTTTGCAGCCAAGTTGCGCTCTCCATGCCGATTGATGCAAAATGAGGTGTTTTAAAAACACCACGGGGATGCACTGCTTCAAACAATACATGGATCTTATTCACTCTCACGCTAAACGGAAATAGTTCATCTCTCGACATAATGAATAAAATCACGTGCAAGTCGGCTACTCCCAGCAGGCGCACTCATTCACTTTCCAATATCACTGACCAATGAGTGAAATCCGCCCTGTGTGGTTCCATTGAGCCTTGACGGGTCATTACGCTCAATGCACGGTTGTATTGAGAGGGGCTCTAAATAATTCATCAGGTTATTAGACCAGATCCGTACTCATTCCAGTTTCATGCACGCAATGCAACAAACGGCTCGGAGCGATGGCTTTCCGCTGACTTTACCACTCTTGAATAATATGCATTGTGTTCCTGACTATCGGCAGCATCAATCACATTTGCGTTAAGAATAAGCAGGATAGTCACAGAGCGATATGTTTGTGTGCTGCCAGGTATGTTTTTTTTTTTTCCCCCTACCGGCTGCTTGGCTTATACAAGCATGCCACTTACTGAATGATTTATTTGTATGGACTGTACTGTCTGTGTGTGTATTTGTTTGTCACTTGGACACGGGTGATTTTACACACACACACACGCACGCACGCACGCACGGGGGGGGGGGGTGCAGGAGCGACGAAAGTACACGCAGATCCTGCGAATGAAGGAGGGAGTGACCTCTTTGTGACTTTCTGGCTCGTGTAGCCCAAGCGTACCCTATCTATCTGCAGCTAGAAAGGGAGGACTAGTTTTAAGCGCTGGCACACAGACCTGGAGCACACAAGAAGACATCAACACAAAAATGTCTGCTTTAGAAATCTAAAAAGCAGGCTAAATATACACGTTCATGGGACACTTGAATTACAGGCTAAATATAAAAGTGTCTCATCCCTGTTGGCTCCTCATCTTGGGAAGCATCAAGGGGAAAAAGTGATTTATTTTGCTTGGTGGAGTCCCATTTTAGTACATATAGTTCCATTTCCAAAACCTGACTTTAAAAAAAAAATGCACAGCTGTAAATTGATGTGTTTTTATTTTTGTAATCTGTCCTAAACCTACAGATGAGGGACACTCGTCAACTGTGGGAAAAAAAAAGGAAACCTATCAGGGCAAAACAAAAGCCGTTTCTCAATTTACATTCTTGTCCGTGCATACGTTCCGTTCTTAAGTGACAACATGCCCTAATTACTCACTGGGTGTGTCCATTTTATTTCATAAATGCTGCATCTCAAATATGTAGATGCCTCCTCAAGTGCTGAGGCTAATATGCCACAAACTGGTGGGTGGTGCGGGTGCGAACACTGGAAAATAAGGCTGTGCCTTCTTTGTTTTCTTTTTGGGTCGAATCAGAATTTCCTCTGCCTCCAAACCGGCAAATTAGCCGAACCGGTTAGAAGTGCTATTTTTGGATGTCATGTCTCAAATTTAAATAATTTCTCTCGTGACACTAACCATTCATTTTCACAAAAAGAGGCGATTGATCGACCACGGTTTGTCTCCGTTTCATTGTGTCTGCCTTTTTACTGTTCCCAAAGGCCATTTGGTGAATTTGTTGCAGGCTGATGTGAGGATTTCAGGCTGTTTCATCGCAAGCGTTTGCGGATGCATTTCCAGATGAGCATGCTCAGCACTTGTGCTATCATGATATAAATGAGGAGAGACTTGAATGTTTTGCAAGACTACCTTTACATGTAGTTAATATTCGGGTTAAGGTCAAAATTCTGATTTCTGAAAATTTTGGAATAGCCAGTTTACATGTGCGTAGGCGGAGAGGTACTCCTGCATTTGAATAACCCGATGTAAGCAGTGACACAAGGACGCGGTGACGCAAATAGACGTCATATCTCGCTTGTTATTTTGGACCATTAATAAAACACATTATATTCATGTCACTCACCATCGGAATAAAGCAGTCGGTTTCCTCCACACTCCAAAATTGTGCTTTTGATCTGGGTCTCTGCGCTCCACCATGATTATTTAACTCTGCTTGTGTATTTCCGGCAAGTTGAGCGCCAGACATACGGACTTATACGTATGCATGTGTGTGAATAATCATGCTGCATCAGTTTCGCCACAGATACAGAAAATAACGTGAAAAAAAACCAATGTACTCAAGTTAAGCTCGCTACGCCAAGGATGGCGAGCACAAAAGTACTTCCTGTACTTCAAAGACCAAGATTCCTTGCGGAGAGAGCAACAGCATGCGCGGAGAACAAACCCGTCCCTCGCTCCGAGGATGTCACACGATATCGCTTACATAACACAATATGCGGGTTAGAAAAGAGGTAACCCAGGGGCCTTTTCCCGGGTTTTGAAAAATCCGAATAAGCGCACATTCGAGTTTTTGTGCCTTTACAAACCCCAAATACTGTCAATCCTCGAGTTTTATAAAGGTTTTTATTGACTGCACGTAAACGTAGTCAATTTGGAAGTGACCATGCTACCATTCTCCGTTTAATAGTATATTTGCACACTCTTGAGGCCTTGCCGCGAGTTTCTG